CACACTGAATATGTAGCGTCGATGCTAACTCTTCATATAACACTTCAAATACTTCCGTGATCCCTAAGATCGAAATCAGCCTCTTCCTAAGCGACCAGGTCTATTTCCTAGTTTTAGTTCTAGTCATCTGGGGTCCTCCATCCTGCTAAACCCTCTCTTTTGCCAAGTCACATCATGATATCACCAAGAGGTCACAGACAGAAATGAGAGCTCTGGTCTTCTATGTGGACACGAGGACAAGTCCAGATCCCTAATTCCCACTGGTATGTTAACCTAGTTTCCAACAAATACAACAACGACAGCGTAAATTGAGAGTTTAATTGCAGAGAAGTGCAGATAATATGTGCCATAATCTTTGTCAGATGAGGAATTTAACTCTTGTTATTCTAGATTAGCAAAAAGACAGAGAAGACTAGCATACGTTGCATTTTTTAGAGACAAACTTCCAAGAGACACTCTTCATAAAGTTCAAGAATCACACTGAGACTCAAAACTTTCAGAAGAAAAGTTGGTCGGCAGGCGATTAAAGCCTCTCACTCTCAGAGAGTCTGTCCTACTCCAGAGCCTGCGGCTGCACATCTGGGGCCAGCGCCTTCTCTGAAGTGAGGTCCACCTCACAGACCACGAAGAGGAACGTTAGCCTCAGTCTCTTCAGAGCTGAACGGCTGTCAATCATCTGAAGGTGAGACCTCTCGATCTGACTTTAATGCAGTTGCAAAATAAACTTTTTAAAAAATGCCTTACCATGCTTTATAAAAATGCATTCCATTATGTTTGCTCCTCCCTCAAATGCAATATTCTAGATTCAAGTGCAAATTAAGCCCTTAGGTTAATAATTATAGACTGATATAGTCCAATCTAATCTATTAAAAAGCTTGGACACAACTTTGCACATATTATTTTCACTCGTAAGTTAAAATTCAAACCTGAAATTTTTGAAGTCATTTTTAAAAGAATAATTGAGAATGACTACACGATGTAATAAATCTATCAGAAACCAGACAGTAATTAAAGAGCAAAGGTAGTGTGAATGTATACATCTTAACATTACACATTTAAACTATTCTACAGGTTAGATTTTATTTTAATAAACAAAATAATATGTGGCTCTGCCCAATTTTCTAAAGTGCATAATAGAGTACATATAAGTGCGATATGCAAATACAAATGTTTCTATAGGTTTATAATAAAATTGTATAAACTAATACTTTTCCCGAAGCTGACTGACCTCAAGATGACTGACACAAGGGTAACAAAAGGAGAGGAATGAGAATTCCAATCCCTAACGTATTGTGAGAGAGACGGGGAAAAAGCACTTGCACCGAATATTTGATTATTAAAGGCCATCCTCATAAGCAAAATATTCTCCCTCAATTACACCTAATTATTTAATTGTTTACATTTACTAATGAAATGAAACCACACAAAACAAACAACTGTAAGGGGCTGTTTTTCGGCAAGCGCATAATCATCAATCAACACGAACAGAAGGATTCTTAAAATTATATGAAGCTGGTCTGTTTAAATAGAAAGGCATATTTTATCCCAATCAATGCATAAAAGTAAAATTATCCCTAACTGAGGCATGTTTCTCTGCCGTACAGTTCAGCTGTAATGATCTCCACACGCTGCACTTGCTCATCAATTATGATCATCATAATCACGGTCGTTAAGCGGGAAGTTCATTATTATCAGGATGCTGGTGACAGCAGATCCCGCCGCCGCCGGGTGCGGTGGGCACGCCGTCACGGCCCCACCCGGGGTTCTGCAGACGGCGATGCACCACATTAAACCTATGATGTGCACCACATCCCACTCCATTCCAAGAGCTGTAGACGGTAAAGGTCAGCTTTATGTTCTGTGCAATATGCTTAGGTTCTCTAAATTAATTCTTTGGAGTACTGGATATTTTTATGCTTTGTAGCTTATCAAATCCTGTTTAGAACCAAAACGCTGTGAAAATAACAAAAAGGGCTTCTCTTCTGTCGTAATTCACCTACAATAAGGCACGTGAGCAAGGGCTCTGCCGACACGAACCATCTTAAGCGTCTCGTCTTGGATTTTGCAAACAAAGGAAAACATGAAATGGCTCCATTAAAATCAGTTGTCTAAAGTGAATGTGAAAACTAACTGCAATTAAGGTAAAGACCTCAGATGATCATTTCTGCTTTGGTAAATATAAACACGTGTGGATGCTCTGACAACCAAAAGAACGTTTTTAGTGTACTGAGATTTTTATTTTCCTACTCTTTTAGACCTATCCAAGTAGATTCAATTAATAGTGACTGGTAGATTACTCCTTAACTAGTTTCACTTCTATTTTAAATACTGAAATCAGCACAGCAAAGAATTTATAAATACAAAGTAGTTACCTAAATATAGAAAGTTTGACCATTTGAGACACAGAGCTAGAATCTCAATTTAACATGGGGCATTTTACAAATAGATCAAAGAACTATGAGCAAGTTATATGACACATATATAAATTATAACCTCTGTGCTTAAAGATAATAAAAGAGAAAAACAATTCTCCACGTAGACACTCTTAAAACTTGATGGAAAGGTGAAGACCAGAAACCAAATATACTTAATTGACCTGTTTCTTGCCTGAAATCGATCTACTGCATTCAATGAAATCTTAGGCGCCTTTAAACGTTTGTAAATAGTCCATCTTCCCACAGTAGAAGCATAAAACTCTGTCAGTCTTTTTCTTTGTCAGCATTTTAAACTTAACAACTCTAATCTCCGTCAAACTGTCTTTAATTAACCAACAATGAATAACTTGTGGCCTCTGATTTCCAAAATCAAGAGGAAAGTTTTATAAAAAAAATAAAGACGAGTAAGCCTGCTTTTAGCAAGTTATTGGGCACAAGTCTCACTCAAATCACTTGACATCAAATCAAAACAGAAAATAGTTCTCCGGTTTTTGCATATAAATAACAGAATGCCTGCCTTCGTACTGTGCAGATTCTATCAGCCACACAGAGATACACTTTGTTTAACAGTTATTTGAAGAGATCAGAAGGAAGGTGTGAAGGAATAAGTATGGAAGGGGGAAAGGAAGGGGTGTGACAAGAGAGAGAGAAATTTAAATTAGCATTTAATATTTTTCTACATGGTTTTGCATAGGGTTAAGTAGACTAAAAATTTTTTAAGAATTAAAGAATTCCTACATTTTTCTCACTTAATTTTCAAGGTCTACAAGAACAATTATTTGTCATTAACTTTTTAACTCTGTTTATTTTCTGAAAGTATAAAGGGGCACACATTGATTCCTCCAGAAGAACAAAATAAAATATTTTTTCTTTTTAATGAGCATCCAAAAGTCTCTATATGTCCATGAACTTGCTTACTGCAATTAGATAAATTCATATTCTCAGACTATACGAAGTGAATCTGTTCCATAAAACCAAAAAAGTTATTATTTCATGAAAGGAACATTTACACAAAGATCTTTGTCACTCTGAAGTAGCTTAATGTCCTAAGGTGAATCATTTATATTTTAAAGAACTGAATACTTCCTCGAATTAAATAGAATAATGAGAGAGCATAAAAGTAAAAAAAAAAAAAAAGTTGATGTCAAAAAAAAAAATGAAGTGTAGAATCACATCATGCGCATTCAAAATATAAAATTAAATAGTTTAAAAATCTTATTTAGCCTGTATTCTGAATGGCTGCATCTTAGGTAAAAATGAATGCTAGAATAGTTTCAGAGTGGATGTTTATGAAATAACATTGTCACTGACATTCAGATTTGTCAATCAGCAGACCAGATGAACTACTCATTGTACATATTCCTTATGCCACGGAATTATTACTGCTTTGGAAGAACTTGTAGCTGCACAAAGGTGCTGCCCCAAGTACCCGAGTTAGTTATTCCCCAGCATGACATTCACTGCATACGTGATAATCCTGTATTTACAATGTCCTTTAAAAGAGGAATTTGTGCTAAGAATTTGGTAAAGAAAGACCTCAGTTTTCTCAAAGGTCTAACCTGTCCCTTCCTCCTGAGTATGGAGTTTATCTCTGCAGTTTGTGTTTCTCCTTCGTCATCCAGGAGCTGAAGGTCCGAAGTCACCCACCATCACAGTAATGCTCTCGTTTCTTTTGTGGGCACAGACACTCTTCTTCTCTAAGATCATGTCCCCTTACTTTTATTTCTAGAATATGACCATTATTAATTTGTGTTTTGGTAGGATGCCGTAAAATCCTCGTGGAAGGAGACTGCGTGTAAACGAGCACATCCCACTGCCAGGCAGTTGACAGGACCTGGGCTTGGGAGCACATGGGGCTTGGGAGCCTTAAGCCCTCTCCAGAAAATCACCACTACTTCATTTTATCTGTGTAGTTTTGCTATCAATCAGTTATAGGCTCTAACTTCTAGACAGTTGGTTAAACACAGAGTAAGAACTTTCTTTTTCATCTCCTATAGTGTAACACATCTTGGTGTTTTCCCAATTCATAAATTTTTATCGAAATGCTAACAAATATCATTATGGAATCAGATAAATATTTATTTACTTCTTTCTCACTATTATATACATATAGACATGATATCACACGTAGCTTTAGTCTGTCTGTCTGTCTACCTATCTACCTACCTACCTATCTTATCTATCATCTATTCATCTACAGAGACTGCGAGAAGGCAAGCACTGGTCTCCATGCCTGAAAGTCAGCTTAACTCCATTCTCTCACCGCAGATTCAAGCCTAGACCCCGGTCAGCTTCGCCAAAGACAGTGATCCATGCCACTGATCATAGGGTAACTGAGCCATAAAACATAATACAACACCAAATAGACAAAAAAAAAAAAAAAACTCTGAAAACGAGCCTCTTACTGACGTAGGTCAGCAGCACCATCTTTACTTAAAATAGCTCTAAATAACTTTGTCACCAAGGAAGTGTTCATTGTAACGAGAATATTTATATTGGCTGTCATCGGTGTCTATTTTTGGCCTTTCGAAAGCAGGTATTGTTTTAAATGCTGCATTAACGCACCTTGTTGCTGATCCACTTCTCAGGCTCTTCGTCTCTGAACCGCGGACACCCGTGAGAGCTGGGATCGTACTTGCTCGACATATGCATTGACGGGATGTACTTTCTATTCTTATGGTGGGAAGAAAATGGCAAAAACCTGAAAGAGCATGAAGGCGATATTTTCAATTTGATTTCTAGAGACCTTTGATTAAAAAACAAGAATGTAGAGAGGTAGTACAGTGAGAATAGGACCTGGCTTGGGATCGGAGTTACCGAGTTCTCCTTCAGTCTCTGCCACTGGCTGTTGCTGTTACTTCTATGAATCTCTATTTCGTACTCTTCGAGTGGAGAAACTCAAACTTTTTCACAGAAGTTTGTGAGTCTCAAATATTTTGCAAATGTAGAAAATGTTAAATAAGTAATTTATTATTTAACGGTGCCAAATAACTCCAAATTCATCATGTCACTAAAAATGCTCCTCATTTTCAAAATAGTACTCCGAAATGAAAAGGATGGCCAGGATAGGCTATTCTCACTGAAATGAGTTTTTTCGGATCCTGACTCACCCCAATTATGGAGGCCTTCTGGGCAGTGGTAATGAATGACGGCGCTTTCGAGTCAGCCAGAGCTGTATTCACATCCTACTTAGCTTTGCCCTTGCTAGCTGTGTTCCTTCGTGCAAGGTACTTGACCTCAACGAGATTTTATTCCTACGCAGAGTTGTTGTAAGGAATGAAAAACTGAATATATGTAAAGCTCCACATAGAGGCTGAAAAGGGCACGTGACCAGTAACTACTAGCAGCGCTGAAGGTCGGAGTAAAAGTACAAGTAGCTTGGAGCTCTCATCCTCGTCATCATTATTACTTTTAGGTATTATTACAGCCAACATAAGAGATCAAATTTTCGAAACCCATATAAACTCTCACAGACTCTGAGATCGTGATCTGCTTTCAGTATAACCTGGTAAACTAGATCTGTCATCAAAACCCTCTACAGTGAGAGAAAAGGGATAAAGAAAAAAAAATAATTAAAAAAAATTATAAACCACAAGAAGGAGAAGAACAACAGAAGAGAAACAGCAGATGAAAACAGCAACACATCTTCGCAGGTGGAAAGCAGGCAGAAAATTCAAAAACTGAAAACCTATGCTGGAACAGGCCGAGGCCAAGGAGAGTTAGGGGCTCTTGGTCCCACGGACGCTGGCAGAGCCCACGGGCCAAGGGCGCAGGTGCTGCAGAGGGTGCGGGCCAGGGAGAAGCCGAAGGGGGCGGAGGACAAACCCACGCGAGGAGTGATGACGCCCCAAGTCCCTCACCCAGCCCATGCGCCACGAGTAGGGCCTGCCCTGGAAACTGGACCCCGGAGCTCTGGGCTCGGGCGGGGGGCTGGGGTGAGGCGCCCAATGGGGTCATGGACTTCCACTCAGAACCTGCCCACCGGGCCCTTCCTAGGCTCGTCGCCCTAAGTAAACTGGCTGTTGGGCTTCTCCGCTTCAGAGGACGAGGGCATCTTCTCCAACGACACTGAGAGTGCCCAAGAAGCAACTGTGGACCCCAACATTTGGGGATTTCTTAATTTAAAAAGGTTGTACCACAGCCCGATGAAGGCTGTTCGTCAAAAAACCACTCTCACATAAAAGCAAGGTCTCCTTTTACATATGAATTTAAGAATGGATTACCAGTTGGGGAAATTACCCACATGAAAAGGAAGACACCAATCCAGACATAAAAGATAACCTACAGGAAACAGATATAATGCAGGAAACAAGAATTAACTTCAGAAATTCTTAATTAACATAACCAAAGGAGATATGGTATCAATGAAATTAGAGCCAGATAATGTTTTAAACAAAAGGAAGGTTTAAAGAGAAAGAGCAAGCTCTAGGAAATCAAAAGATATATGTAGAAAAATAAAATATTCTGCTGAAAAATATTCTGAAATTTAAATTTTGAAAAAATTAAGTTCAACAAATTTATTGAGCCATTCCATATCCCAATATTTTCACATATATTATCTCATTTAATTAAGACAAAGAAGGGGCTTTTTAAAATCTCAATTCGATTAAAAATTTGTTTTTACCACTATATTAATACATTTGTCTACAAAATAATAAACAGGAAAAGCAGTGTTATTTTCTCCATTTTTACAGCTCTCTACAATTTTTAATGCTTATTAATAAAGTCCTTGTTAATACTTCTCCTAAGAAAAAATCACTAATACTATATCTAGAGTAAAAACAAACAGAACACAGAGCTTTAAACTCGACAAAATTACACAAGCATGTATTGCATGTGCTCTTGGGAAAAGAGCTCTCACAGAAGGCAGATTGTGGTCCCCCCTTGTGTTAACGGGCACATGGAACGGACATCACACACGCACATGAACGTGGCCACACTGTCCCTGAGCATGGCACATGGGACGGACATCACACACACACACATACGAACGTGGCCGCACAGGCTCTGAGCATGGCACATGGGACGAATGTCACACACACACACACACACACACACACACACACACACACACACACACGGCCGCGTCGTCCCTGAGCCTGCAGAGGCGGCGCTGTGAGCTGTGGCACTGACAGCTCCTATCACCTCTGACTGGCATTTTAATAGTATTTTTCTTTTGTGTCTGAACAAAATTCGCTTTCTCAAGGGAATGGATGGCTAAGAAGACAAGGCTCAAAGGCCAGGTATTTCCCCATCCAAAAATTAATTTTAATTTCAGTTAGCCATGATATCTCAGTAAAGTAACATATATGTCTATTCTGAAGTTTATGTATGGGTATGCATATGTACATATATTCAAAAATATTTCTATGTTTTGTAAATAATATTTAACACTTATCCTCAAATTAGAAATTATTAAATTCTCGAGTAGGATTTGCTTTACAAAACTATAGATATGAAAACCACAAAAGTCGAACTTTAGTTTATAATCAAACTTTTAGATAATTTTCAGTTAGTTAAAAATGGTATCTTTTGTCAACTTTAAATTCATATTCAGAGCTATCTTACACTTGCAGTGAGTACTTTTCAGTTAACTGAAAACCATATTAAAGAAGATATGGGTTTGCCTATTATTTATTATAATCTCATCAAAAATACAGATTTGGGAGAAATTCTTAAATACATTGTGGAAATATAGAAGTATATACAAACAAGTCATTACTTGAACGTCTGGCCAGTTAGAAAACAATTAGTAGAGGTCTCAGGAAACAAAAATAAAAATAGTCAATTAGCTTCAGAGAAAATAGGTCCATTGCAAATATAAAGCTTTTATGCATTGAGAATTAATATCCTCAACATTATTTTCCAAATAAAAGGACAAACAAATGATACTCATCTTCCTCTCTTCATTTGTCCTCATTTGCCCTACTATTGTCACTCACAACTCTAGGTTTTCCTCCAACCTGTTTATTTCACTGCCAGCGGATCAGAAGCCACAGATTATGAATCCCGATCATGAATGGGTTCAAGCCTGTGTTCTGGAGCCCGGCCTCAGGCCTCTCAGAAGGCCATGGGTTGGTCCAGTGTCCTTCCACGCCTTCCTCGCCCTTCCGCTGATGCCATCCCCCCTCCCTCCCTGCATCTCTTCCTCCCCTGCCTCTGCCCATGCTCTTCTTCCTAAAAGGCTGATCCGTACATACACTATTCACCTTTCAAAATCCAGGTTACCGCCCCGCCTTCCCGGGCAACCTAACTGTCCCGCTTCAACCCACACCATTCCTCTGCTGTCCGAGTATTTATTCAGAGGCGCGTATTCAGTGGGCAGAGGTAAAGCTTGGAAAGTACATGCACGTGCAAGTATGTCGCTCATTTGCCTGGGAAATGAGAAGGAAGCTCTTCACAGGGTGCTTATCCTGGCCCCCACCAGATCAGGCCAAATTTCCGCAGCCTTACCTCGTCTTACTTAACGTGCCTGGGACATTTTCCCAGTTACCTCATCCTTTCCTCACAGGTACTGCTGCCATCATTGGGGCATCACCTGGCCCCCCCGAGGGGCAGACGGGGCCACAGCATTACAATTGTGAAGTCAGGGCCCAAGGAAAGTGGCTCATTGTCTCATTCCTCTCTCTAACCTAGGTGGCTAAATAACATGCCGTGTGATCCCTTAATACCAAGGCACGTCTGACGTGTTTCGCTTTTGAAGAGAGTTCTTACTTATGAGTTATGAAATACATACAGGATTCTCACATCATAAGTAACTATCAGCGCATTCACTCTTATTATGTGGGAAAAGAGAAACAAAATATAAAGACTTCTTTTCATTTCAGACAAGGTATAGAATGATGTACTCTGAGAGTTTTAAAACCTCCTATACTTTATACACAAGAAATTGTAACGTCATGAGGTGATGGCATAGCAAATAAGGTCTTAAAACTGTACTGTCTTATCGATTTTGTCTTGTAAACCACACAGAGCGCGAGTGCCGATTACTGTCTCTACCCTTACGGCAAAGCCATGGAACATACTCAAGTGATCACATGCATTAATAAAGACCTCAGTCTACGAGCAGCCCCCCTCATGCCAATCATCAGTGACGCCGACAGGCCAGACAATCCTAAGTGGGGACACAGGAGCGAGTGCGAGGAACCACCCCAGGAACTCCGCTTAAACGGTATATCTAAAATAGTTTGAATCATAGCAGCAGCATTTGACTGAGGACAGAAATAAAGGTTTTCATGCAGGTTAGAGAAGCAAAGTCATTAAAGAGGTAAAGTACTAAAATCGTTAGTGGACACCGTACAGGGATGGTCAGAAGGTTTCTCCTTGTAAAAGAGGCTTCATATTTCTATGATTCCTCGATGTATCGCTTCAAACGCACCCTTAACTTTTTGAGTTACCATGAATGAACCTTTGTTGTTTGCAACTAAGGAAGTTCTAAGGGTCGTTCTAAATGCACCTGAGGCCCCGACTACAGCATCCACACCATTATCGGGCTGCCCCCTGAATCAAGCTGGTTTAGGGCTTACAGCGTTCTACCTTTTAAGCGATTTGTCAAACTTTCTCTTCTCCACAAACAATGTCCTCGTCCTACTGCAAGTCTCTTCGTCTCTGAGCTGGGCTGTGACGGCAGTCTCCTAACTGGTCTCTGGTACCAGTGATTCCCATTTGTGAACCATGGACAGAGCTAATAAAGTGATATTT